TGTTGAACTGTTGCTGCTTAATTTGAGGGTTTCTTTTGCAGCCATCACATATTTTTGATCTTATCCATCTTGAAGGAAATGCTTGTTTAGCTGCGTTTTCACTACGAAGAAAGCTAGATATGAGGCGAGATAAAAGCCATGCAAGTAAAATTGACTTCCAAATGACGCATGCAGTCATCTGGGGGAGGTGGGTGGGCACACATAACCAAACCGGGGTTTACACTCTGCTCTGTATCCATTTGTGACTTCTCAACATGAATAAGACTGGAAAACCTCAGTGTGCATTCGCTGTCAACAGCTGCACTGCAACAAAGGCTAGACGGACAGCCTGCAGAACAAATTTGCTTTGGATCTTGTTGTCATGAGCTGATGTGTGTATAGTTTTTGAAACGAGGCATTATGAGCCAGACAAAAGACACTGTTTCTAAGCTCCTTGTCTTTACAGAGTTCTGCCAACTGAGCCTTTGGCATTATAGTATCTACATGAGGTTATTCAGCTCTGCCAATTCCAAACATGATAACAGATCATCTCTTGCCTCTTTATTAGTTTTCTGTGGCACAAGCAAGTTCTCTAAAAACAAAATGTGCTCAGTACAGTGCAAGTCTTGGGTCTTTGGTTTTTTTTAGGTTATTGTTTTAATATATATTTAAAACAGATCTCAACAGTCCAGCACACAGGCCCAAAGCCAGTGTATAGCTTACACATAGCTTTCCACTACTTTGCCTTTGTGGGTACAGCTGTATAGTTGCAATCAGCAGGCCACAGCCATTGCAAGAAACAGTTTATTATATTTCAGAATGACAAATAGTTATGGACATTGCTTTTGTTGTTTCAATACACAGGCAAATCTGTATGGACAATCATTAGGTAGATGAAAACCAAATAAAATTATTTGTACACATATTTTACAATACATACTGTCGCTCCTTACTGGCTAAAGCAATATGCATTACGCAGGAAGGTATTGCTATTCATATAATACAGCTAATTACAAGATGACATGAAAAAAAAGAAGCAAAAAATAAGTTATTTAAATATCAATTACATATACAGAATGTGCAACTTCTGCTAAGCATTTCATATATGTAATTAAGAATTTAGGTTGCAAAACAAACTGGAAGTGAGTAACTGGAACTCAGTTGAATTAAACTTGGCATTGGGAACTCAATACTACATTAAAATACCAGCATAACCCCTTTGAAACTCTTTACATTACCTGACAAAGGTGTCCATTAATGGACCTGTGAACAAAATGTAGCCAATTTTTGCCTATAAAACAGTTAGATTTACCATCTAAAGTGCATTTACAGTGTCAGTATTTTCAATCTTTACAAAACACTTTTCGGGTCTTCTACTAACGACCCCCTCTCCTCACTTAGCCCAGAGCACCACTTTGATTGAGAGGGAAAAAAGGCATCGTGTATCCATCGATCCATCTGCCTGCCAAGTGCCCACTGCAAAACATAGCCTCTAAATTTTGGAGTAACTGTTGTTCAGAATTTTGATTAATGAAATGAATTAAGCTATCAGCTTGATTCTGGCTACAAAAGTTATAACTGTTAGAAACAAAGAGGGAGGGAGAGAAATAATATTTATTTGTTCAGTTTCATTTAGCGTGTGCAAACGAAAGACTAATGAGATTCTGGATAGTTTCAGTTGTGTTTTGATTCCAAGATTCACTCCTCCCCCCCTCAGGCCGACCTCGCTCAGCATTTCCCTGAATTTTAAAACTTGTTTTTCTGAACATGGAGGTCAGCTTTTCACCTGATGTGACAGCTTGCATCGACCATTCCTTTTAACTGCTTGACAACTCATACTAGCATTGATTTGAAGAAAAGAAAATACATCCCACACAGCTTATTGTTCCGCTATGATTTAAATTCCTCAACGCTGCAGCCATTGTCGACAGTCCAGTAAATTCGGGACCTGACAGCCCAGACGTCAGCTGTGTCTTCGTGCTTCCCGGTTCCATAACCCCTCTGCAACACGTACAGTCAGTGTGTTTTGATATGGTCCAGAGATGTTCAGCATGCAATGGCCATGCCTGTGGCAAGCCTGTGGTGTTGTGGTATTAGCCTGGCTTCACTGGAATGAACACTTCAATCACTTAGAAACATGTTCTGGGCTCCACATCCATGTATATCAGTGAAATGATCTAGTTGAGAATGCATGTATAATATGTATAGTATAGGATATATGCCACAGTTCAGTCTCAGTCTTTGTAGCTCCTCAATCATAATGGTAAGGCAACTTAAAAGGTCCGTTGACACACCAGGGAATGTATTATTTCAGCGAGAGGTGATTGTAAATTCTACAGCAAAACAGAGCTTTCTTTAAGACGTTATATACGAGCAAAGTGCCCATCCAGGATATTGTTGTGAAAGGGTAAAGTATAAAATACAGAACTATAAAATGACAGGGTGGGCTCGAAGTAAGCCCGCAACGATCAAAATGCAAAACACAAATTTTAACACGAGTCATTTTGAAATTAAGATGTGCACTATGCTACAATATATAAGCATGACACAAAATAAGCCACCTCGAAGCCATTGTTTGGTGTGTGTATTTAGTCGATTAACAGTCCAGATATTAAATGTGTCGCGTCATCGTGAAACTATTAGTGGGAAGCAAACATCGAATTATGTCGCTTTGGCTGAGCTACTTCCTTAAATGACCCTCAGATTAAGTTGCCTCTGCCACACGACAGATGAAAATGAAGCACTTATGAAATATGCAGAAAATAGTCTTTCTTGGTTTTCTTTTTTAAAAAAAAATCCATCCTTAAAAAAAAAACAAACTGTGTGCTATCTTCCTTAAAGGCAGATCCAAGTCTTTATTTTAAGACTTTGGGAGACGTCTTCAGAATGGAAGTCATCCCACACAGTGAGTCTACAGTCTTTTTTGTCTTTTTTCTTTTCTTTTAAAGGCATCTGATATCTTGTCTTGGCTGTTTGGAGGAAATCCTCGATGTCGTAAACATTTGGAAAAAAGACAGCGTGATAAAAGAGAGAGGAAAAAAAAAAATCAGAGAGCAGGATATGTCTTTAACATGTGCGAGAAGAAACGCTGTAGTGCCGTGGGGGCCAATTTACCCAAGGCCACCTACTGACCACGAGATGGTGCGGATCAGTGAGTTGATGCGACTCGACTCCACCAGCATGATTACGACTGAACCTCTCTGTGTGCGTGGACCGATCGCGCCTCACAGATCAGGCGGCGGACGTGACGTTCGTCCCGCACCCCAGCTTCCCACGCACTGCTCTCGGTTAACAAGGCCACGCGGCTCAGCGTGTCGATCCCTGCTGTTGCCAGAGTTGTGGAGTACATGGGTAGGCCGATGGAGATGAGCCAATCGGAGACTGTGCTGATGTTTCCTAAGGTGGGAGGCTTTCGGCACATCTCCGTCAAACCTCCAGAGGGGATCTGAGTGACACAGTGGTTTAAAAATCATTAGTTTCACAGGATGATGGTGCATAATGTATATGTAGTCAAGGTTTTGTTCATTTTGTAGGCAACTTTGGCCCGAAAGCTCTGTTTCTGAACAACTCATGAGGCTCTATTAACATCTTTAGTGCTTTTACTGTTGTTTCATAACAGTAATTACATAGCCATTCCCTTTATTATTTCCACATTTAGCTGGACCATTAGATAGCCAAACAACCGTAATTTGCACTTCACCCCAACAATGGCTTTTGGTCCTTCGAACTGGCCAATTTTCCAGGCTTCATTGTTACATTTCAGAAAAGCCTCACAGCATTTATCTCACACTAAAATGCATAAAATTGCCCAAAATTGGACTATCGAAACACTCAGGATAATTATTGTTCCCTTACAGCCATGCGGTGTTGTTTACGGAGCTCTTTGACTCTGAGCTGGTCTATGGTAGACGCCACGTCTTTGACTGGCTGCTCCAGATCCTCAGAGTAACGCTGTACCAGCGGGTGGGGGATGCCGCATCGGCCGTGCTGAAGGAGGGAAGTTGTGAGAAAGACATTGAATATGACTAGAAGGAGAGAACAACACTTTGAAACCACTTAAAGCTAGTATCATTAAATGCCTTCTAAAATCAATAAGCAAATGCGTTCCTGTTCTTTGAAACGTCTATTCTTTCATTTGACCTTTTAGACAGCTATTCATGCAAATCGCCTCCTCCCCATTTCCAACATCAGTGTCATCCAAAAGTGTCCATCTGCTCCATCACCAGGAACATATGAACCTCTGGGTCCTGTCCTATTTCCTACCTTCATTCAAAACTCTACTTTGCTATGCTGCTCCATCAAATCGCAAAAGACTTTCATCTTCTTTTTTCCCCCCTACAATCTCTACTAGCGATGCCCTAATGCCCTCCTTCACTGAAATCTGTAGATACTGATTCACTCATAATCTAAATCATTCATTAAGTTACCTAACTGACTTCTGACAGCCAGAGTGAAGCCTCAAGGCGCACTGGCACACGTTACTAGTAAGACAACAATGCGCCTCTCATGTCTCTGCCAGTCCACTTATGACTAACAGGAATCCAGCAGAGCTCTGCTGTGGTCGAGGGCCCCACTTCTCACCTCATCACTTGATGCCTCTGTTTGCATATGTGTTGTTTTCTTGCCAGTGCTGGGGGCTCCAACATGTTCAAGGGGCCCAGCCTGGGGTCTGGCAAGAGCCAGGAGGTTTTATAACCCCGTCTGCCTTCAGTAAGATTCAGCCCATAAACTTAACAGTCTGAACCGCATCATAGTGAGACTCAAGCCACAGTCTTTCCTTCTCAGCTCCAGCATATTTATTATTGCGCACACACACACACACACACACCCTCACCCACCCACACCCTCACTCACAAATAAATGCCTTTAGATATAAAACGGCATGCGCACACAATGAGAAACACACAGACTCTAGACTCTATTAGTGTCTATTTTTAAACCAAGTTCCAAAAGCAAGCTGCTCATGTTTTTGCCCTAAACACAAAATTATTTGGATCAGAGCTTCAGTAAAATTATGACTGAGTTAAGTTAGGCATGTTACAATGCTGAACCAAAAGACCCTGACGCCAGAAAAGTATGGCCTGGAGGTGGTTTGGATTTTTATAAATCAAATATTTTTCTTGAGCACTGAAAAGGATGTGATTCTTTTTAAAAAACCAAATATCCTATCTGTGTGTGTACATCTATTTTTCAGCACAAAAACTTCTGCTTCAAGAACAAACAGTTACTGAAGGAAACCGGTTTTAGGCTTTTTAATGATTCAATGTTAAACTGTCACCCTTCATTTTAATGGTATCTGAACTGGTTATAAATTCATCTATCACCAGTGAAAGTAAAATGTCATTTGTAATGTAAAATATGAGGTAATTTTTCATGTTTTAGATGATGCTTAACTAACCTTGTCAGAGTAGGGCTCCTCGGTAAGATCAATGCCCTCACTCTGCAGCCGTTGCTCCAGGAGGGTAAAAAGATCAGGACCTATCTTGGTATGGGAAAGTTTCCTCGTAACAGCCATCTTGCCTCCAAGATCCAAGAGCCAGGGAGGCTGCACCGCTGGGGGAGTGCCAGATTCCTCGCCCATGGATGAGGCTGATGAGGTGGCACATGGACTGGCTGGAGTACTTGGGGTCTTGGGAGGCAGAGCAGGGGCACTCAGGCCAGGGCTGCGGATTATAGGGCTGCTGGGTTGAGAGCGATTGAGGGAGTGGGTAGGCGAGGCGGTAGGGGATGGCGAGGAGGGAAGGGAGAGAGGGGGGTGACGAAGGCCATTGGCTAGTCTCTCTCTAGATTTCTTTGCAGGTACAGGGGGAGGGATGGGAGGCTTTTTGGGGTGAGTCCGCATCACCCTCTCCCCACTAGCACTAGAATCAGGAGGACTTGGAGTGGGGCTGGAAAGGGGCTCTGGAGGGTTGGAGGACATTGATGTTGGACAAGAAGAGCGTAGGCGAAGCTGTGAGGGTACTGGCGGCCTATCAGCCCTTCCTTTAGGACTAACTGTTGGAGTCCCATTTTGAGCTGGAGAAACGGCGTCTCTACAGGGCTTGATGGGGCTAGTTTTGCCTGATTTGGGTATTTCCTTACTAAGCTTAAGCTCCACACTGAGATCGTTCTTCTGCTCAAAGTTCTGCAGATCTCCCAGAGAGTGGGAGCGCTTCCAGGGTCCGGTGGGCTGCGGGGGACCATCAAGGTCCTCGCAGCTGCGGCTGGCTGGGATTGGAGACCGTCTTTGGGCTTTTCGCAGCCCGAGCAGGTTGAAGCCCTTAAGGGAGGGCTTGATGAAGAAACTTTTTGGAAACTTTGTGCGCTGATTTTTGCTGTTCTGCTGAAGAGCCTCTGTAGAAAGAGTCATGGGCAGTGTTGGGTAATCTGGAGACTGGTGTCCTGCTGAAAAATGACTGGTTGCTTTCCTGCTTTTACCTGGAAAATAAAAAAATTCTTTTTTCTTTTTTTTGTCTTGTTGGTTTTTTCGGTTTTTTCTTCTTTTTTGTGGTTAATTTTTTTCTTCTTCCCCTTGTCATGGTTGGGCTAATATAAATACTCTATTCATGTAAATACTGTGCATGACTCAGCACGAGTGTTCTTTACTGTCTTGGCTGCCTTTCCTCCCAACTGTTTTACATTTTTATGTCTGTAAAAATTCAGCAGCTTGCACACTGCAGGACTCCAATTTGTCCATTTATTGCACCACAGACATTTGCTGTCCTCTGTGATGACTTTTTGCAAAAAATAAGAAAAATTTATTAGAGGAAAAAAATGAATTAACACCAATACTCACTTTCCTGTGGGTCTGAATATGTTCCAAAGTGAAACTAAATAAATAAATAAAACTGATATAAACATCATATCCTTACAACATTAGCCAGTCAAAAGCAGACAGGGCTTCTGAAGATGTTCAGATAAATGTTCTGATTCATGAACTTTTGTTGGCACTATAGAAATAACCCCAAAGAAAGCTGCCTGAACGGGGAACTTCAAAAGCTTTGGAACAAAAGTATGAAGTAACTTACCATATATCCTTTGGTTTACAGAGCAAAATGGATGAATGAAATGGATGAGAGCCATATAGTGCAACTCAAAGATTTAAAACAGTGGAATGACAGGAAGGAGTTCAATAGATGAAATCCCAAGAAATGCTTCAATAGTTCTCATGTGTATCAGAAAGGTTTGGTGACTGACTACGAAGGTTAAAAAGGATGGTAAGCTATTCTTTTAAATACATAATTGGATAATTATGCACATACCGTTGCATCACTCTTAATTACAATCTCTACATTTAATTACTTCTTTAGTCAGGATACTATACTTTGCTGTGACAGCGGCACACAGATGGGATACAGGTAAATGGCTGAACTCTGTTCTGTGACTAATTTAGCATCTTTCAGATTATAAATGAAATATAAGCTGAAAATGTGTTTGGGCATTCAGTCATTTTCTGGGGAAAATACCTTAATGGACTGCATTGATGCCCCCAAAATGCATACAAAAAGTTTTGTTTAATAAAACAAATACAGTTAAAAAAGTTCTGAGTGCAAGGGCCCTGACTCATGATACACATACGCACACAAATTATATATTATAAATAATATTTTTAGCCAGCATTAATTAATGCATTAAGGGAGTATTTTAATAACCGAGTTATTTAATGATTGGAGGAAGATCTGCTGCATCTATACAGAGGAATCAGAATGTTAAAGAAGAGCAGACATTCAGGGCTCTACAGTGACGTTTTCCCCAAAATTATAAAGTTTAAATGACATCTGTTGGTTGGTTTTGAGTTATCTTCCATTATAAAAATCCATGCTGCCCTTTGCCAATACTCTAGATTAATAAATATTCAGAAATACTCATTAATATACAATAGCATATTAATGAATCTATTCTTTACGTTGGAAACATCGTTTAAAAGCAATAGAAGCCTTTCCCATTCCCTCTAATAGTAACTACTACCAAGTTTATTTTGATATAAAAAGTCATAAAATACCAGATAACATGCCGGATACTATTATTTACTCCTAAAAAGTATTCATTCACATTTTTCCTCAAAATTTACCAGATTCATACTTAATTGTTTTAATTACGGTACTTTGCAAAAGTCTTGAGCCGCGACTTTTATTTTTATATTTTGCCCTGAAGGAGCCAGACATTCTTATAGCTTTTAAAATATGCCCCAAAATCTGGAGAGCTATTGCTCTCCAGATTTTGGGGCATATTTTTTCTTTGGACATTGACTGTTTTTTCAATACCTGACCAGGTTCAGATTTTTTTGAGTTTAGTGAGTCAGCCGAGCACAAAAAGGCACCCGACTCAAAGCATGAACTAGTGTTGTGTCTACACATAACTGACAACTGAGAAAGAACCAATTTTAAATGGGCCTGTGTAAATGTTTTGCAGATTCAACAGGAACTTCAAAAAATGTCAAAGATAAAAGTTTGATAGGCATGAAATCAAACTTGGCATATCTCAGCATTGAATGCGGTGTGCCCTTAAAAATAAGGAAACTGGACAAGTGGAGGACACAAGAAGTGGTAGGCCCAAAAGAATATGTACAGCAGATGAATAGCATCTGAAACTCATGTCCTTAAGATATCCAGCAAAGACCTGACACAGGAACTAAGAGATGCATCGGGGATCTTGTCAAAAATGATGGAACTATGAATGGTTAAAAG